AATAGTAGCAGTACTGTAAAGTTTGTTAGAAAATATGTCCCCATACTTTTTTTTATAGGGATTGGATTTTGTAAATCGGACTTTACATTAACTGCTATAATTCTGAAGGGGCCTTACTCTCCATCTATTATTTTCACTGAGCAAAATAGCCTATGCCTCGACAAGGAACCTAAATATACCTCCCTGTCTCCACTTATGTAGGGCCTGCACCGAATTTCAACTATTTTAGTAATTTATTGATCAGATATTGCACAGATATATATATTTAGCTCCATGAATATTGCAACAAATTTAGGCTGCATCAGAGAAACTATATAAACCATATTATCTTAATATATATGCCTTCGGCTGCATGTTGACAGAAACTTTATAACTGTAATTATTGCACGCAAAAAAGGCAATAAAGTCATAAAATTAAATACTTATCCTTTAATTTCTACAATCAAATTTCTAAATGGCATTAGATTCTAACTAGAATTTAAGACAACAAACCTGCGAAAAACATGCTTCTTATATCAGGGTTGTTTACTATATTTTAATGTCATTAAAATTTACAAACAAAGGCCAAACCAACTATTTTTCACACTTTTGAGCGTCAGATTTATTCTAAAATCTCCCAGTAACTAATAACAATATATCATGAAGTGACAAGAACTGCTCTGTCAGGGCGATAAAAAAGTGATCAAGGTAAGCTGAAACATTAAAACGTATATAAAAAACACAAAATTAGTATCTCCAGTCATTTACGAACTTGCCATTAAAGAATACGAATACGAATACGATAAGTTTATTTGTATAAAGCATAGTACAATGCTTATAACAAGTATAAATTGTAATATATACAATGTTTGGAGATCAAAACATGGATTTTTCCAGCAAACATAAGATGTTTCATGGAATATTATGTTCAATATTCAATATGATATTTAACATGTTTAATATATATGTTGCGCTTGCATGCATAAGGTTCAAATAAACAGACGCCAACCTACAATATCCTGAATAATAGTCTGCACTTAACTTATTCTATCATTTTCTAAAATATAAAGACATGAAGAACACTAAAGTCCTTTAGACTAAAAGTAATATTCACTGTTGCAAGTCAGTTCTTTTGAAAGATATACATGCAAACGCAAACATCTTAAACAATAAGTTATGGTTCGAATATATTTCATTTTCAAATATTACTAGAAGAGATATTATGAAATACGTTGTCTATTTGCTAAGTAAATAAATTTAGACAAAGCACAATATAGTTTTCATAGAATTAGAAGACATTAGGCTACCGAATTTTATAACAAGTATCAATTGTAATATATACAATGTATGGAGATCAAAACATAGATTTTCCAGTAAACATAGGATGATTCATAGAATATTATGTTTAATATTCAATATTTAACATGTTTAATATATATGTTGCACTTGCATGCATAAGTTTCAAATAAACAGACGCCAACCTACAATATCCTGAATAGTTTGCACTTAACTTATTCTGTCATTTTCTAAAATATAAAGACATGAAGAACACTAAAGTCCTACAGACTAAACGTAATATTCACTGTTGCAAGACAGTTCCTTTGAAAGATATACATGCAAATGCAAACATCTTAAACAATAAATTATGGTTCGAATATATTTCATTTTCAGATATTACTAGAAGAGATACTATGAAATACGTTGTCTATTTGCTAAGTAAATAAATTTAGATAAAGCACATATAGTTTTCTTAGAATTAGAAGACATTAGGCTGTCGAATTTTATAACAGACGGCCAGTGACAATAATAAGGTTTAAAAAACCTTTTCCTCAATTCTCTATAACGTGGACAGACTAACAAAAAATGATACTCTGTTTCAGGTTGTCTCATTAAACAAGATTTACATATTCTTTCTGATCTTGGTATATTTTCATATCGACCAGATTATACACATAAGTTATGTGATGACGTTCTAAATTTAGTAAGAGCAATTCTATGATTTTTGTCTGTAATTAAATCAAAATACTTTTCACATTTAAAATCATGTTTAAAAATGCTATAAGTTTGCAGGCGACCAGAATTGTTTATATCAGTATACCACTTCTGTATAAAAGTATCTATAATTCTTTGTCTGATAATGACAAAGGGAATATCTATATCAAACTGGTTAATCCATACATACGCTAAACCATGGGTTGTTAAAATGTTTTTAATACAAAAAGCCCAGTTTTTTTAGTTATATGTATTCCCAGAATCAACATCTTGCTTAAGCATTGAATAAACTTTTTTAACAATCTCTGTATCGTCAAGCTTAATAATTTTCACCCAAAACTTAATCATCTTAATTTGTCTCATCACAGAAAAAGGGTAACGGCCTAATTCACCGTATAGCGCCGAGATGTTAGTTGATTTTCGAACGCATAAAAGTCGTCTCAAAAATTTTGTATGTATTTTTTCAACATCGCGTCCGTCATGCATTCCCCAAATTTCTGATCCAAAGTTAAGGATTGAGCCGACAAGTGAATCAAAAATTTTACATTTCTGAGAAACAGACAACTCAATATTATTAAATATGGTAAAAACGTTATAAAGAGCAAATGAGGCATGTTCAGATATATATTTCTGAGTTCTATACCAGTTTCCGTTCTTTAACAAAGTGATACCTAAATATTTGAATGAATTCACCAGTTCAATAAGGGTGTCGTTAACATAAAAGTCATGGTGTGTATGTCTGCCCTTTTCAAAAATCATTGCTTTTGTTTTCGAGGTATTTATCTTTAATCCCAAAGACTACAGTATCTCTCGACATCAGACATCATCGACTGTAAACTCTGCGGGGACTTAGCAAACAATACTTGGTCGTCTGCGAAAAGTATTAAGAATAGCTGAAGTTCATCAATAGAGAAAATACCTTCTAGGTCGGTATTAATATACCTTAAGATGTCGTTCACGAAGAACATAAACAGCAGAGGGGAACACGGGTCCCCCTCCTTCAAACCTTTATGCGACTCGAAAAAGTCGGAATAATGAATAATTCGACTTATATTTAACACACGATTTTACCGTCATATACATTGACTTTAAAGCTCTCACAAGACTAGAACTTACGTTTTCTTTGAGCAATTTATGCCATAAATATGTCCTGTCTATCTTATCGAAGCATTTCTCATAATCTTTAAAAATGCATTAACGTTTATCACCAGAGTTAAGTACTTTTGGTATTACAGATTGTAAGATAAATATGTCGTCTACAATAGATTTTCCTTTCTGAAAACAATATTGGTTCTTGCAGATCTTTTCATTCTCTTCTGACCACTTCGTGAGCCTATTTAGTAGGATTTGGGAATATATTTTTGCCAAGATATTTATAAGTGTAATGCCGCGGTAGTTTTGGGGGTCATTAGTATCACCCTTTTTAAAAATAGGTGTAATTATACCCTCTCCCCAAGACTGTGGGTATTCCCCACATTGAAATATTCTATTATACAATTTATGTAAAAACGGGGAGAAAACATCGTAAGTAGATTTAAAAACCTCTGATATAAGCATGTCGGGTCCGGGAGATTTGTTGTTATTTTGGGAAAATACAGCCGCACGTATTTCTTCCTCAGAAATATCACGATCTAAAATATCGTTTCGTACATTATTCTCAATGGTCAAATTATTGTTATTTATATCCAATCCCGGGGGTTCTCCAAATAATGACCTGAAGTGGTCATGAAGTTGCTCGACATTTAGATCGTCAGCTTCCGCCGTTTTCTTTTTAAATGTTTTTCTAATAGTTTTCCAAAATTTTCTTGGCTGAGTTTTGGCCAATTGGTTAATTTTTTTACCCTCAGCTATTTTATGTTTTTTAATCGCTTTACGTTTAATACGATTATAGTTTGTTCTCGCGCTAACGAAAAGGGTCATATTTGTATCTGACTTATCTCTATTAAAGATATTACGCTTTCTTTTAAAGTCGCGTTTTGCATTAACGCAATCAGCATCAAACCATTTTTGGCTAGATCGATGACCAGTGTCGCGCGTATACCTATGAAACTCTTTATTAAATACGGCACGTGTTTCACGTAATAATAGATCGGTAAATTTCTGTAACACGTGGTCTATCGGTTCATTGCGCACAATTTCATTCAATGACTGTATAACGTCATAGTTATTATTCAATATATTCGACCTGAACAGGGGTACTTTATCCGCGTCCCATATCAGTTTAGTATCGTTTTCGATATTTGACTCTTCACAGTTAAAAATGTTATTATCATTTTTTCTTGAAAACGAAAACAGCAATGGTGCATGATCCGAATATTCATTAAATTCAAGAATATCAAAATCGTTGAGCGAATCAAAATCTTCAAAATTCAGTAACAGATAATCTACAGTTGAGAGGCCACCGTTTGCACAAAAAGTAAAGTCACCCCTGTTTCGATCATTGTAAATTCGGCCGTTGGCTATTAATAACCCTGTCGATTGGCATATATCTATTAAGCGCCGCCCATGACTGTCAATCACATGATCCTTGTTTACTCTTAAAGGCACATCACGTATATTCAAAAAAGATATATTTTGGTCTAAATACTTATCATAGACTAAATAATCAGGGAAATCGGAAGTCCTACTATTCAGATCACCGGAAACAAAAACTTTCCCTAGGTCATTATATCTTATAACATCATATTCTATCTGTTCGAAAAAATCAAAATCTACATGTTTAAGTACCTTAGACTGAGCTGGTGGAATATAAACACGACATACAAATACATCTTGATCAAAATTAAACAATACACGTGAAAGTTTTACCCATATTACACCATAGTCATGTTTTTCAACAATGTGTACATATTGCTTCAAATAAGACTTGTAATAAAAAGAAATTCCTCCACTATAACGTCCTTTTGACACATTTTTTGATTTGTTACCATATAAATGTTCAACATTATATTCACTAATATTAAAGTCAAATGTATCATTTTTAGATAACCAAGTTTAGAATAACAGTACAATAGATCTAATACTACAACATGGAATCATCATATACTACCCTACCATTGATGGACGCTGCTGGAAATGATGATTTGTTTGCCAATAAAGCCTTTGATTACGATTATGAAGGTACGTAATTTTAGTTTTATAGCGTTTATAGGATTAAAATTATATTTCGATATGATCTCTTTTGATTAAGTTTAGAGTGGACATACACATTTAAATGCATATATTACGTGTTTTTCTGTGATATTTAGTTAACGCGTTTACACTGAATTAGTTTAATTATTATTTTAAATAAGTGGTTTCCATTTCTTAATCTTTTTTTCAGATTCCTCGTCGGGCTATGAATCTACAGATATGGAGTCAGTCAGTTCTTGGGGATCACGTGACAGCCTTGACAGTAGATTACAAGACAGTCATAATAACTTCTTACCAATGAACAAAGATGAAGAAATCATGAATTTTAGAAGCACACATTCGCTCTCAGAACACCTGAAACTAATTTTAGCAATGCCCGAGATGTGCGACGTCACATTTGTTGTTGGACCGCGTGAAGTACCAGTGCACGGAGTTCGCGCAATCATGGGTACACGAAGCAGGTAATTTCATTTCTGTCGCCTTCTAGGGGGAAAACTGTTTCCTCTTCCTGGTATAGGAAGGAATTTTTTTTATGAAAATGCATTCTAAAACAATATTAAACTACATGTAGCTATATAATTAAATTGTAAGAAAACTCTAATTGAAATTTCAATGTAAACACATGAGCATTATGATTATGGAGAACATAATTGTACATGTACTTGTTGACCACTAGTACCATTTTCTTTTGCCTTTATATTATACTTTTTGGTACGGAGTGTATTAATTTAGTAGGGATAACTTTTTTGCCCAGCCGTTAATCCAATATTGAAAAGTAATATAATAAACGACTTGGAGCTCATCTTGAATGATTTATCTAATGTATCCATATATTATTTCAGGGTTATGTATCAACTGATATTAAAGCATATGTCTATGGAAGCTGCTGACAAAGAAAGGAACGCCAAAAGTAACAAGAAGTCAAAGAAAAGCACGTGCAAGGCAGTTGGAATAGGTCGGTCATTATCACAAAGACTTGTTATCCCTGTCAAGAAATACGATTCTGAGGTGTTCCGAATGTTGGTCCAGTTTATTCACTGTGGAATTGTGAATATCACCGAGGAAACAGTTGCTGGTAAATATCTATCTGATACTGATACTTGAATACCAATTAAAATAAATAAATATTGAATAAATAATTGACATAACAATACTTATACTTGTAATTGCAAAAGTAAAGGGTAAATGGCCATGAAATTTTTCCTTT